GGGCTCAAGCATACTCCCCTGAGCTACTTCCCCAGCCCAAGACTCAACTCTTAAACTTGGGTTTCCTTTGAGATGCTACAGCAGGAAAGTCCCAGAGTTGGACCCTGGAGGAAAGGAATCTTCAAGAATTACTTGAGGGCTGGGGATGTGGCTCAAGCGGTAGTGCGCTCGCCTGGCATGGGTGAGGCCCGGGTTCGATCCTCAGCACCACATACCAACAAAGATGTTGTGTCTGCCGAAAACTGAAAAATAAAAAATAAAAAATAAAAAGAATTACTTAAGAGGAGTACCCAGGCAGAAGAAGACCCAGGACCTCCAGGTCTCTGGAATCACTCTCAGCAGCACCATCAGGAAGTGTAGCATTCCAATGTCTACAGTGACATCTAAAGGGACAAAAACTAACGAGTTGCATAAGTAATGGTGCAGAGAGAGAGGAAAACATGGGAGGGGAGACTGCCTAGGGAGAAAAGAAGGGGTCAGTTCTTATATGGGGGGGGTGGCCATCATGGTGAGGGACAATGATGTAAGTATATTTTGCCCATGAGCCAGTAGTGATCAGCGGAGTGTCTTCCTGTTCCCCACCCCCCACTCCCTACACCCACCACCCCACAAAAGAAGAAGTGAAACTGAAGAGAAGGAGAAGGAGAACTGTTGGAGGCTGGGAAAGAAAGTGAGGACTGGTTTCTTAGGCAATGGAGAAGGGCTCTGAGTGTCCACTTGCCACCTGCAGTTATGTGTCTGAAGGTGCCCATTGTGCTCAACTGGGTGAGCTGGAGTGAGGGTTTCGCCAGGCAAGTGTAACTGGGGGAGTCAAGTTTAGAGTGTGCAAGATGTGATGATGGCGGTTGATCATACACTCTCTGCTGGAAGGACAAGAGGACATGAAAGGAGGGGAGCAAAATGGAGGGGGAAATCCGTGTGGTGGCGCACACCTTAATCCCAGCAGCTCAGGAGGCTGAGGCAGGAGGATCATGAGTTCAAACCTGCAGAAGCAATTTAGAGAGGCCCTATCTCAAATAAAATTAAAATGGCCTAGCGATGGGGGATTTCTCTGACACTATAATAACTCTCACCATCCATCTCTCTTTGTTTCAGCATCCAGAACCCTCCATCTAGAGGCCCTTAGCTCACCCCTGACCACCACCACCACAGCGACTTTCTAAAGTAGTTTGAGAAGCCTTGCCTGCAAATCCCCAAATGGCCACACGGTGGTAGTGGGGACCTATTTTCCCAGGTAAACAGCACACACACACACACACACACACACACACACACACTTACTCCAACCTCGGCTGCAACTTTTGTTAACCGAACTGGAATACACACCATGCTCTTTCCAGATCCCCTGCTTTGGCCCTTTGGTTCCCACGAATGTCGCCTCGCTCACTGTCTCCACCAATGGTACAAACAGAACAAATGCTTCCTTCCTGTCCAAGCTGACGGAAGAAATTGCCCTTCTGAACACAGCCCCGCTAAAAGGGACCCACATTACCTCCTGTCTCGTCCCTTAGCATCTCCTGCCCACCTTGGCCTCCACCATCAGACCAAGAGGCTCTCAAACGAAGGCACCTGACTTTGTTGAATTTTCAAAATCACTCAACAGCATCCTTCCCCGGGACTCAGGATGGGACTAGGGAAAGCCCTGGGAGTTTTCTCAATCCAGTATTTTATTTAATCGTCTAATTTTGTGAAAGGGATTATCGTCCACATTTCAAAGATGCCCCAGCCGGCCCTATTGCACTCGGTGGGGGTTTGAACCGGATTATTTTTTGTTTTGTTCTTCGGGTACTGGGGGCCCCCATGCATGCTAGGCAAGTTCTACCACCCCTGGCCCTTTTTATTTT